ACGTCTACCACATTATTTTATAGAGGAAGGACACTGGTCCAGCAGAATGACTCATGATGTTCAAAAATGCAGTGAAACTTTAGGAACAGCTTACTATGTACTGAGCTAGATACCAATGATATTCCCTTGCTTTCACCACATGTTTATATATGTGTCTAAGCTTACGCAAAACATTAAACTTGAACAAAACAGTGCCTTAATTTGCCATGCACTTTTAGTTTGGTAATCGTCAGACTCGTGTTTTGAATGAATGATACTTGTACGATAATGTGTATTACTGGACTGCGCAATCCGGCACCATAATTATGGTATATACATTCAATCAGTGTATTCGAATCATCGTCGAGTGCTGACAATAGTATGTAGTTAATTAGAGCTACCTTTACATTCGAAATATTGAATATTAGAAGTGTTATTACAAACAAATCTGGCTATCAATACAGCACAAAAATAGATTTATTGCGAACTTAATTCACCAATCTTGTTTACGACAGTGATGTGTAGCTGATTAAATTTTCTATTGTAAAATGTGAGATGTGCTTAATTGCACTATAAATATTTGTACAATATTAGGATTACGAGTACATGTGGCTTTCTTGCAATACGAAATAATTTCAATCATTTACACATTATTGTAACAAATCAACTCTGTAGTCTGAATTCGCTAATGGAAAATTTTGTGCCATATTAACTTTCTGGCTCTTCACCAAGGCTTTAACGTGTGGAAAGGTTTAATTGCGCAAGCTAATGCGAAGCTTTAGCAGAATTCTGAAAGACACTCCTAACAAAGAGCTTGCAAAAGAGTCTCTGCAGTTTTTAAACTCACGAATGTAACCGTTAATTACTGACCGACACTTGCAATACTGCCTCAATCTTCTTTTAGAATTTACGAGATAGGATTATTTGTAGGTATCCAAGAAAGGCCAAGCACTGAGGGTTCGAGAACGCGGCATCAAAACACAAGGGACCTTTTTGTGCCAATCATCCACTTGAGCACAGTCTGAGGTTGCTAGTAAGCTATGCCAAATCGAATTCCAATTGAGCCTTTATAACTGGGAACGGCATAAAGCTGCCTTGCATACATTTTAGCAGGTACGGCAAATTTAACTTCCTATTTCCGATTTTATATCTTACATCAGATGTTGGTGTCTGATAGTTCACTGACTTGAATTTCCAGGAGAAGAAGGGCGGTAGCACCAAAACGTTGGCTATTAAATTAGATCAAGTCAACATCATAGTGTTCCTGAGTACTGACCTAATTTATTTTCTTATCATATTTCGCAGGGTTTTTTTTTTGGGTTTCAGAACACATGGAGTTCAGTGTTCCAACTACAACATAGAATTAAAAAACTTTATTGCGGGTAGTGCATGGCCATTATGTAACCATGAAGAGCAACTTCGTTGCTAAAGAGACTGCTTAAATTACCAACAGAGACGACAAGGTCTGCCACAATATACTCTTCTCTGCTCAAACGTGTAGAAGTACAATACCGCTCATAACTTCTGCAAAAAAAAACCCTGATTTCACATAAAAATCCGTCGCGATGGGATAATCCGTCGCAAAGCGTCGCATCGCCATAACTTCTTTCAAAATAGAAATTTTCTAAAGGGGAAAGTGGCGTTAGACTCAGCTCGTTGAGAGGAATCTTCCAGTATATCACACTACAGTAACATCTAGAGTATACGGTAGGCATACGGTGGGAGGCCAATATCGTGAATCTGTCCAAAACTTTGCCTAGGAGGGTCATCTGGTACGCTGATCATGAAAAAACCATTCATTTCTTACGGTAGTGACTTACTGTAAGATACGGTAGTCGTACGCTAAGAAGTCACTGTCGCTACTCCGTCTGTTTTTTTCGCCCAGGATGATTA